TGCCAAGAGTAATTTAATATTGAAAAATGATGAACTAGGATATCAAAGGCAGTGTGGACATGCAGAATGATGAATTATGAGGATGGTGGAAGGAAGCAACCATTAGCATTTATCATGCAGTTTGAACATAAGTTATACTTATGTGGATGGCTTAACTATAGTTTTTGCATTGAAATTATCAGTTTGACAAAATGTCAACAATTACAATCTACAAAGGCAGAAGGAGGATTTAGGGCAGCAGTTCCCAACCTTGGGGTTGTGAAATCATCAGGTCGGGTGATTTTTATTGTTGCACTATATGCATTTATGAACATTCTTTATAATGTCTTATTTTCAACAGGTGAATATTTTTGATCATGTCTATGCTTGATGTTGGAATTGCAAGAATTTGCAGGTGTCTGAATAGGGTTGCACTGAGGAAAGGTTAGGAACTGTTGATTTAAGGTTCAATTTTAAAATTACCATGCTTGAAATTGCAACTATAGTCTATTCCCAACCGAAATTCTCAGATATGGAATCCCCCTGACACTTTTATCAGGGATGTAGCTGGGGGGGTGCCCTGGGTGTCTGGACACCCCCCCCCCCCCGAAAAGAAGCAAGATTTCATGAAACAAGGAGTATGAGAGTGGGGGGGGGGCCACTTTGTCATCTCATGAGCCTGAAAGAGCCTCACAAGACCCCCTGAAAATAATTCCTGTCTACATCCCTGACTTTTATTGTGGGTAGCCATAAAGTGATTGACTGGAATTGACCCGTGAGTGCCACCCTTTGGGAAAGAATACACAGGGTTGTCAGATTCTATTGGAATTCTCCCATAGTATCTATGACATAGCAAACATATTCACAGGACATACAAGAAGATATTGCATTTAAATCCATACTGTGTGTTGACAACCCTTCCCATTAAGGGCAAGAGCAAAACCCTGGAATTTCTTGCCCCCAACCTCATCCATCAAGCTTATTAGCTGTCTTTATTTAGAGGTATCTGAGAATTTTGGTCGGGAATAGACTACATAAGGCCAACTTCTCTCCACATATACAAAAGATACAAAAAGAAAAGTTGGATTTATGCTGCTTCCAGTCCATGGTTCTGTCAAGTATAATTTGAGAGTTTTGCAGAAGTATTTTGACTCTACAACCTACAGTACTGGTTGTTGGTTGGATTTCTAGAAGACAGTTTACTTTTTAGTAATGTGAGACCTATTGTGGCTATGAATATATAGACCCAGAGTGCCTGTCTAATCTCATAGACAAAAGAAAGTTGAGGAAATTCTTCTAACCTATCATTCTATTAACAGACCTAGACTATAAATTTAAATGGAAATTATGGAAATGGAAATTCCAGTGGAATGTACCTTCCAATGGGCAGCTCACTTGGTATGTTCATTTTTGCCACATGAGAAAGTCTGTTTTCCATGCCCTTGGTTTTTACAACTGCTGTTCAAATTAAATCCAGACAGATGGGAGGGTGTCCAAACTTGTCTATTTTGCAGTCTAAATGTGTAAGTTTCTGATTCTTCTCAAAGTTGGCCTATCTTATATTTCAATACAGGAAAATTTATTTTTCATCCATAACTGGAAGTGTTGTTCACAGATTTGAGCTGGCTGGCAGCAGGAGACAACAGGATGGCACTACAATGGCAACACTGACATGAAAGGGTTGTAGGGACCCCAATACCTCATCCCTCATATTTTTATCACCCTCATCAAAGGCATGGCCTTGCTAAAACCTTCAGTGCAGATAGATCTTTTTTTAAATGCCAATAGAGAGGTGTTAGAGTTAGAAGAGGAGGAAAGAATATGGCTGCAAGGCTGTCAGATGGCTATACCTGCAGCTTAACCCTTTCAGACCCTGAATTAATTCCAATAGATGTTGCATTTTCATTGTTTCTAAGATAATTTATTGGGATTCTCATGACTTTGTGCCCCATATTACACTACAATGGACTCCATTATGCATGGCTGAATTCTGTCAGAGGTCTTCTCTCACCCGTCAGTTATGTAATAACATTTATAATATATAATATTCAATATATGGTATGATATGGTAAACTTATACAAAATATGAAAATGATATATAGAACATAAAAATAGAAGAAGAAAAAAAATTAGAATAGGGAAAAGGTTCAAAAATGCAAAAAAGTATTTTATTCTGATAGTGGTCTTAATTCAAAACTGAGAGGGTTTAACTTCATCTCACAACCACCACAAATGCACACTCCATTGCCTGGAGAGCACTCACACTCAAGCTGCTGAAAGGCAACTAGTACAATGTGTACTGTGGAGTTGGATATGACAATGCTCAGCAGAATAAACAACTTTCAACCAACAACCCTTTGGAAATTCAGCTCTTGTGGGACCCATATCAAAAAAGACCTTTCTACAATCCTTGGCCCAGTGCCAAAGGAGTGAAGAAAAGGAACTTTCCACCTTACTGGGTGGATTCACTGAGTACATTAATGATATGTTGCAATCCAAGCCTGAAAACATAAACCAAATCCATCATTGGGTCAAGAAGAGTTAGCTGCCCCTGATTGAAAAAGCTGAAGAGAAGAAGGGGGAAGAAAAGAGGCAAGAGAAATTGGTCTCAATAGATCAAAATCTGAGTAAGCAAGAAGTATTGCATTTAGGAGTGGCAACAGGAACATACCATCCCAGACTGTATTCCAATCTCAAATGTAGGGGCCAAAAGTGAAGAAGAGATCCAGAGACTTCAGGCCCAGTGTTAATTGATGATAAATATCATCTGTTAAATTGCATATATTATTATTATTATTAATGACTGAAGTGTACCATGGAGCAGCCATCAATTTTATTCCTATGATATTCAATAGATGGCACGGAAATCAGAGTTTGATTTCAGCTCTAGACCATTCAGCATGAAGAAAGTTCGTTCAAGGCCATGTCGCCCGAGTGTGGAATGGAGCGAGCTGAGCATGGTCAAGTTAGACATAAGGACTGGAAATGACCCTGTTGAAGAAAGGAAGAAGAAAGGGGTTGTAAGAACAGGAGCAATGCTTGATTGTATCCGTGAGGAAGCAGGAACACTATTGGAGGAAAGAAATGTGAGTTGGGGATCTATTTAGCTTTGTGTTTCTGTTTAATCCTTCATGTGCTGTTATATGAGTCAGTGGTCACAGCAAGCTGATATCAGGGTAGAATTCTTGGGACCCAACTGCCTCTGGTGTACGGCCACTCACTTATCCAGTGTTCACTAGAAGTGAGCCTGGTGATTTATCCAATTCAAGGATTCAATGATGGCATCTGGAAGCATTTCGGGTCTTAGCTTAGAGTCGAGACAGAGGACAACGACAAAGAGAATTGTTAGATTCTGATAAGAACAAAGAGTCAAATGCTGGAAAAAGAAGAGAACTGTGATTCTCCTTTCTGCATTTCAGCATGTTTTCACAAGTACACACTGTGCACTCTGGATGCCAAAGGAATCTAGACAGCATGACTCTTTCCTACTCTTGTCTCCATCATATCCAATGCTGAAGATGCTTCCATTTAGGTCTATTTGATTCCATGTAAGTGCTGTGACTGGACATGAAAATGAGAACAGCTCAGAATTATAGGTATAAGGTAGAGCTGTACCGATACCAGCTGTCTTTAGCTGATGGTCTGATGAGCAGTTATGACCTCACACATATTGGCTGGTGCTGGTTGTTTCATGTCCAGGTAAAGGTGGTGGGGCCAACAAACAATTATCCAATATTCTGCACTTGATTAACGTCAACTCTGAAATTCGTATTAAACCCCAAGCATTTACTTTTTATCAATTGACAAGAGATGGCTCACATTGACATGCTTTCAATCTATACTATGTTTCAGAGTGTTTGTGTGTGTATCTGTCTGTCCTTCATGCATGGCCATGCCTCTGATCCCAGTCTGACCAAACTTTGCATGGCTACCTCATTTGGTTCTGGGATGGTCATAGGCTAGGTGGCCATTTAAAATTCAGACCTCCTGGGGTAGCACCGACCCCAAGACCAAATGGTTTTCTCCAGGCAAGGAGTGTCAATTTTCACTCTTTTTGCTGACGCTGTCCACTATGCAATGAAACTGGAAGAAAATAAAGGCATTCTAGGGAGATTCAATCAATCAAATAAGGGGTTGATTTCAATCTCTTAATTCATTCAAAGTGACATTAAACATTCTTCATTTTTTAAACTCAAACATAAATTCATGAAATTAGTCCAATTGTGGAATCCCCTATGGTGCTCAAATTTGGGGATTCATCCTTGGCTGTAAGGCAAGGATGAATCAAGAAATGGAGAGAGAAGTATGTCCCATTGGAGTATTTTGTCATGTAATACCTAACATATTGCTATTTCTATTCTATTGCCAGAGGGAAAGCTGTGGGAATGTGAGCTCCTTTTCTCCTGTGATGAGCAGCACAAAATTGTACTTGAGGAACTCACCCATTCCTAGGGACAAGGACATGGAGACATATACACCTCTGTTGGATCGTCTCAAGTGGAATTCCCATCAGCAGAAGAGCCCTACTCGTGACAAGTCTCCAACCCCATTCAACACTCCCAGCAGGAGGCAGTCTAATGCTGCACAATCTGATATGGAAGTAATCGACAGCAGTGGCCTGTCAGACATGTCACTAACCCCATTCACACCTTTGTGGAAACGTGTTCAAGCCATTTTGTCAGAATCTTCAAGTGATGATGAAGTGCTGGTCATAGACTCCAGTGATGATGATGATCGACCTCTCCTTGAAAGAATCTGCTGCCCAGTTACACCTGGTTCTGAAGGTCATGTTCCCAGAAAGTCAATTCTGAAGCAGCCAAAATCAGAAGCTAAACAAAACTCAGTAGCTGACAAAGCATGGCCTACAAGTGATACCTCTGGGAAAAATATAAATTTGAATTCAAGACAGAGTACACATAACAAAGTCACACATAGCTTGCCAAAAACAATAAAATTCAGAAGCATCAGTGCAGCTCAAGTTCCCATGGAGAAAAGAAAGTCTAACACTGAGCTGGATTCCTCTGACAAGGAGAACTCACCTGTTATGGAGTCTCTTGTTTCCATACCAGCTCAAGACACAAAGAGAAATGCCTTTCAGCCATCTGGTGTGAGACGAAAACTGTTGAGTTCTACTGACTCTTTGGAGCAGGTGATGAAAGAGAATAAAAAAAAGGGTTCAGAAATCAAAGAGCTAAACAAGAGTTCATTTGTCCGAAATTGGATTGAGCAACAGGATCAAAGGTTGTTTGGTTCAATTCTTTCTTGGCAACTGATTTATTTTTCCATACTTCCTACAACCAAAAAATCTTTTTTTTTTAAAGGATTTCTGTGGGGAGCGACAGCAGTGGTGATGAGTTAAACAACTGTGTGTTAAGTTTCATCATGATCTGACAATGTTGCATGCTGAGCTGCCTTTAAAATTCAATTTGTTTTGCACAGTTTTGGAGCGTGTGAAGACAAGACGAGCTGAAGAGAAACGACTTATGGAGGCGAAGGAAAGGGATCAAAGGAAGAACCTTAAGACGTTTCTAGTCTCTGACTCCAGTGATGACAGTGACCAGGATGCTGGAAGTCATGATGAGGGTTTCCATCTTCGGTTCCTTCCTCGAGATGACTCCTTTACTCCCAGTCTTATCAGGTAGGCTTAGTTGGGTATCATGCCCTGTTTCTCAAAAACTAGAAACTGATAAGCTAGGTTAATATATTTTACCCTTTTGGTTTTTACTTTGACTTCTGCATTATTTGTCCTCTTTGTGGATTTTTCTCTTGAATTATTTCATCTCTGATCCTTGATGTAGTCCCTGAAGGTAAAAACTCTGGTCTTTTTTCTGGCATTTCCCACACTTAAAAACATGTAGATCCATAAAAGCCCTTCTGCATTTCATATTGTTTAATGTGATGTCTCATCCCTTCCATTCATAATGTTAAACAAGATTCATGTGATTTATTGATGAATTTGTTGAACAGGACATTTGAGAAGAAGTCAGCAACAGATGTAATACAAAGGTCTAAAGAAGTGGAGATATCTGATGATGATGGGGAAGAAAATGCAAGTTTTGAGTCCCTTCCTACCCCTCCCTCTACTCCCATCCATCAAGGTGAGCCTCCTAAGGAATTCTTTCATGTTGGATTAGGCTATCACTATAGCTCTCATGTCAATAAAGATATTTTAATTATTGGCTTGTTGAGAAGTTGAGAGGATATTTCTTTCCATTTTCAATTCTTTTCAGGCATATTAGGCACATATCTTAGATATCCTTAAAGTATTGAGAAGGGAGTGAATGATGATCAAGAGGATGTGCACAATCATGCAGTTGGTGAATGGTGCTAATAGATAAGGCCCCATCTATTGCAGCTTTTTTTTTTCAAAGGAACTCTTTATGTTTGCATTGGTCAGATTTTTGGAGCCAAATTCTTCATATGCCGTAAGAGGGGTAATTTAAAGATTGTTGCCTGGCATTTTGATTTGCCATTTAGGCAACTTTTGCAGGAGGTCTCAATATTGTTCTTTGGCTCCCATGCCTCCGTATATGTTCAAATTTATGATTTGGGACCTGTGAGACCTTGTTTCATTGCAGGAGTGGATGATGATGGTAAAAGGGGATTTATGCACAAGGAGAGAAAATCAGGAATATAGATCATTTAGCTCCTAAGCAAGAATAACAGCCTGGCCAATAAAGCCATGCTGTCTTTCAGATGCATTCTCACCCATCATAGATTCCTAAATACTCAGCTCTGCTCTAATTTGTAATTTTCTGTCCAATTCTGCAAAGCTAGCCATTTCTGTCCATATTGTCATCAAAGCCCAATCAAGTAATTGCCCTCAAAGTTGCTTCTTTCATATTTGGTGTCTGACTGACTCCACATCAGAGTCAAATTCTGAGTCCTTGCTTTCCTGTGCACTGTAAACCATAGTACACTAATGGAGGAGACTGAAAATTCAAGAATGGATTACTGCTGCATGCCATTTGATCATATTGTTCATATTTTGTCTGATAAGTGTCTGTTGCTTCATGAATGTGCAATGAATGCCTTTCTTATGAATTTTGCCATTCCTGAATTCCTTGTCTTTTCATAAGCAAAAATTCAACTTTAAAACTAGATTACATTTCAAATTTTATCATATAAGGTGATAGGGAAGCTCTGGCTCTCAGAGCAATCACTGGTAGTTTATCACATAAATTTGAATATTTTCTAATGGATATTTATGGTAAGGAAAACAACTATGGGGGGGTTGCACTGACTCTTGGAACTTGCAGGAATGTTCACATTTCATCTTATCTTTAATGCTCATGCCGTTCTGTACTGCATCATATTTACATTCTGCTTCCCACAATTAAGGTGACAAGGTACAGGTAACTGAAAGTTATGTTGCATGACTCATCCATAGAAAATAGTTAGCAATGATGGTTTCTTGATCCAGGCCTAGCTTTATATTGTTCCCCATCCCTAATTCAGATAAATATGGTTCTCTTATTTGATTCCTCCACTTTGGGAGCTTCTATCATTGTAGTGCATTAAGTCTGTGCTCCTTCATGCCCACATTATCAATGGGAGGAATATTTGTACTGGAAATATATCCATGAAGAGGAAATAGTATATGTTGACCTGTTTTTTTAGGAGCAGGAGGAGGTAGGGGAAGGGGTAAAAAGGGCTTCCAAATCCCAAGCTCAGCACCTGCAAAAGTCACAAAGGAGCGTTACCATGCCACTCACATCACCTGCAAGGATGCTGCTGCATCTTTTCTTTACTCCCTATCACGTGAGTTCCTATTACCATCCTATCAGTTTGATTTTGAATCCCTTGGAATGGATTACTGATGAGTCCTATGTCCCTTTAGAGAACCCCAAAGATGGACCAATTCACCCTGAAGCCGCTTATTACATTTCCCGCTTCAAGACATGCAAGCTGGAGCTGGCCAACCATCTATATCAGCTCTTCAATAAATATGTCTTTGATGAAACTGTAATTGTTTGCATAATTACTATTGGAGTGTCCCAAAAAAGAGTTTAAATTCATTTTCTGGTTATTGCAAAAGAAGTGAAAGTAGACAGTTATTTTTTCATTCTTAGTAGGGCTGTACTGTATCAGCCACATTTGGCCAGTGGGCCAATGGCTGATTTTTTCCTCATAACCATTGGCCGGTGCCGATTGTGGCCTGTAAATGAAATCGCCTATAAATTCTAATAGGTATGATTGGAAGCCATGTGATACTTAAAAGTAGGCCTCCTTGAAGTGATAGAGACCTTTTTATTTCTATGTAGCTTGTCTGTCTCACTATAAGACTGTCGATTGTTACCCATTGCTGCTGTTAAGAGCATTTAGTGACATCACTTGCGAAAGCATGATGTAAATGAAGATGCAATGATTTCCTGTTCTTTACCACTACCTTCCTCTTCTGGTTCCTATAATCCAGTCTATATTTTTGTCTGGGAGAGGCTGACGAGTGGATTTCAGCAAGACAGGAGGGTCAGTGCATAGCTGCATTCGCACCCTCACATAATTTTTTTTTTTTTGCCTGTCCTTCGAGCACTGGCACCATAGGCTGATGGCCAATCATGCTATTCCAGTGGCCGATACATTGGTACAGCCCTAATTCTTATAAACTAGAAAGATAAATGGTTTGTATGATGTAAGTCTTTCATGGGATTATTGCATGGGTTCCAGTTATATTCTTTCAAAGTTATCATTGTTTGAAGTGATACAGGATAGGTGAGTGCTTTATTCATCATTCAAAAAGTTATGTGTTATGAAGGGGAAATGTTTCCCAAATAGCAATTGAGGAGTTCTTTGGAAGAAGAACTTATGTGCAAAAGATACAATTTGAGAAACTTGGGATTTAAACCTATTTTTTTATTTAAAGTTGCTTATATGGAAAAAGGGCATGCATTCAATGCCTTCTTTCCATATCCACACTGTCAGATATTTCTCATTCTTACAGCTGTAATTTTCAATTTAAAAAACACTCACCTCAGAAGAAATCTCAAGGCTTTAGAAAACCCTTCCTCTGAGAAAGGCAAGGAAAACAGAAGCATTTGGAAAAGTTTTCATAACATTCCCAGTCTTCCCCATGTAAGCACCACCACTATTCCATTTTCTTTTCCTTTAGTCATTCTTCCATAGGTTTGCATGACTAGTTCTTATTACTCTATCCGCCCTACAAGTGGCCATTATGAGACAGCCTGGCATCTTGCTGGAGCATGGAGAAAATTGCATCTCCTTCACTGCAAATATATCTGAACCATCTCAACATCATTCTATCTTATTGTATGTGTCCTAATGCTGTACATGAGCATGGGAAAAGGGCATATGGGGACTTGTGTCTTTTTTTCAAAGAACTCCTTAATTGTTGGATTGGGTTTTGAGGTGGAGTGCCTTCTTGGTGGAACCATTAAAGCTCTTCATTCCCAACCTCTGAAGGGTTGGGTTGGTAGTAAAAGATTGAGTGTTGCTAAAATATGGCAATCACAATTAACTATGTTTTGTATACTTATCTTTAAAAAAATATATTTAATAGTACTCTAGCATTACTGAGTCTCCAAGCAGACAGTCAAGGCAATTTTCATGAATTTTTCCCCTTACTACTACTGTAATTACTCTTAAAGATTTGTATTTTTGACAGTAGCAATAGATGGAGTACTGGTACTTTTTTTAGGGGCACCACATGAATGTAATTATGAAGTTGTGTATCTTAACAAGGCAATGTTTGTTTTTTTGCAACAGCTTCCCTCTACCATGGATATCAAGTTCAATAATCGCATGCGAAAGACAGCTGGATTCTGTTATTATCGATATAATCGGAAGACCCAAGAGCGATCAGCCAGAATTGAACTGTCTGGCAAGGTGATTGATGATGGTAGGCGTCTGCGTGATACAATGATCCATGAATTGTGCCATGCTGCAGCATGGCTTGTCACTGGTTGTAAGGGGGGTCATGGACCTGTCTGGAAGTCATGGTTAGTGTTTTCATTTGTTTAGTAGGATATATTTCAAGTTTTTCTCTTTGTGAATTGGTGTCATCTGTTGACTTGATATTAAATTTTTTTAGGACTCAGAAAGCATTGAAGGCCTTTCCAAATCTCCCACCCATCACTCGTTGTCACTATTATGAGATAAATTGCCGGTATCAGTACGTGTGTACTGGATGTGGATACAAGTAAGTTCCATTCACTTTGATTGCTTCTAGAAAATGCTATGTAGAAGTGAAGCTTCATAAAAATACAACTGGAACAGCTGCTTGACTTGAAGTCTCATTCTAATGTAAAAGTGGATAAACCATCCTTCTATGTAATATGAAATGCCTTGAAAACAAAAAATACTCATGAAGTTGACCATTTATCCTGGTTGTCCCATAAGTCACTATACCATTTCAAATTGCAATATTTTCCAAACCGCGACAAGGTCACTGTTAGCATTGATGGAAAGAACATACTTTAGATATTATGTTTTCCTCTCTTAAATTCAGAAAGACTCAAGAAGCAGAATGACTTTTTTTTTTAATTTGCTTCTGCTGTTATGAGAAGACTTCACAATTGATGCTGGAGCAATGAAAAAAAGTTTCCATCTGGATGGAGGTCTTTGAGAGTCCTGCCAGAGTTCAAAGGGAATTTAAAGCGATTTTTTATGTGCCAAACCTCATGCCAAATGCAATGATGTAGGCAGAGGGCATTTTGAGGCTCTTTCAAATTTCAGAATTGCCTCCATTTTATGGAGATAATTCCAAATTACATACTATCATTTAGTTAAATGTTACTTCATTTTTATGCCAAATGTTTATTAGTTGTGATTTTTTGAAATGGTATAGTGACTTATGGGACACCCTGTAGATTGGATGTCACTCTCAGCTTTGAAGTTATATTCCTACTAAAGAGTAGTAATATGAATTAACAAAACACAAGTGGGAGACTTCCATACATTTGAAACTGGAATATTTAACAGTGTACTTAGGTCTTATCTACTGCAGAGTGCTGTTTAAGGTATCTTTCTCATTTAGAATTGGCCGTCACTCCAAGTCCCTGGACATAAATCGCAAAGTGTGTGGGGTCTGCATGGCCAAATTTGAATTACATATTGTCAAGGTTGGACACGAGGGAGAAAAGCATATGAAGCCCGTTGAGGACTTGCAGACCCCAAAGCCATTGAATAAGTTTGCCCAATTTGTGAAGGAGAACTATGGAAGTGTGAAAAACCAAAATTCAGGGCTCAAGCATTGTGATGTCATGAAAGTCCTCAGCACCCAATTTGCAGAGCTCAAGGTCACTGGAAAGACAGAATGAGTGTGTCATCAGCTGTTGTCTTGAAACTGTCTTTCATTTCCTGTTGCATCATTTCTTTGTATTAATTTTATTTTGTATGGTGTGACAAAAATTCAACTTTTGAAATCTGAATGATTTCCTGATCATTTTCCTTGACTGTATTTTGTTTTTAAATGTGTAACTACTATTAAAAAAAAGTTTATCACCCATTTGTGTTCAATCTATTATGGTATTTCATGAAGACCAACTTGCTATGTCTTTTATCTTGCCTCACTCTTTTCTGCTGTAATCCATCCATAATCTATAAAGATTGGTGGTATAACAGTAGGGAAGCAAAACAGCATTAGAGATGCATGAAAGTCCTACATCGAGAACCCTTCTCCACCCCCTCCCATATTTAATAAATTTTTCATTTTTTTCAGAACCTTGTTCCAACCAGGGGGAATTCTTATTTTCCAAAACCAACAAAGTTGCTCAGTAGGTTTTAATCTTAATACTAACTTGTTTCAGTGCTGCCTTAATAAATATGGTAGTTTCCTGTTTGAAAGGCATTGATAACAGCCTTTAGCAATGATATTTTGTGATGCAAGTAACATCATGTATGTCAATTTTTTCCAAACCTGTGATTTTACATGTACAGTGTCAGACAGTACACAATCAAAACAGCTCCTCCAAGCAGAAATAGTAAAAGTTGCAGTCCATCCATGCCATGAAGGTCATTGCTCATTATGTGGTGTTGCTATGGTAACCAAGCCCCACCCCTGCCCATTCAATGTGCACAGCCAGGTGGTCTGGTTGCCATGGCAATAAGCCCTCAACAGCTGCCATTCTCCTTACCATGTGCTCAGCTATCAAACCACCACTGAGGCTATAGTGTCATGTATAGAGTCAAGATTGTTATTGTTGGATCCCCAAAGGTTTGTGTTTTTTTTTGCTTTCTGAAAAAAAGTGAACATTTCAACAAAAAGCAACTTAGTTGATTTTCAAAATGAGTGTAGTGCTTTGTATCCCTGAAGGCTTTCATTCTCTTTAATACTTTGCTTATTTGTTCTCATAATCTTCAAAACTTGATGCATGCATTACTTGTCAGGCCTATTTGCACAATCTAGTCAAATGCATCTTGCACTTATAGGCCTGAGTTGAAAGTGAATCTGAACATTTTTGTGGCCTGCCTAGAGTGGGAAAACATACATAACAAATCTGCTGTCAGAAGCAGTTGAGAATGTGAGTGGAGACTATCATCCCACAAAAGGAGTGAGGATAGTGGAATATGAATGCGATCAGCTCAATGTCAATGGGAAGCTGGCGAGGGCAGAAGTGGAACTGTGGGACACCAGTGGAGACCAGAAGTAAAGCTCAGTCAATTCTTGAGACAGAGGACTGAGCATTCAGAAAGGTATCAGATTTTTACTTTCATTTTTCCATCCATAGATATGAAAGTTGTTGGCCTGCAATCCAGCGAGACACACATGGTGTGATTCTTCTCTATGACCCTGCATTTGAGGAACAGGCTAGACATTTGGACATCTTGTACTCACACTTCGTCACCCAGCAAGGCCTTAAGGAGCAGCAGTGCATCATATTTTCAAACAAGAAGCCTGGAGGAAGTCAAGCTTCACTTAAACTCTGTGAGCATAAAATAATACAGCACCTGCAGACCATCAGTTCATGCAGGTGAAGGTAAATTTTCTAGGGCTATGAAGCTTCCAAAATTTTAAATTGAATCTCCCATCATCAGTGTTGATCTTGATGAGGAAATATTCCATGCTAAATTCAGTTCTGACTTTGAGCTGAATCAAGAGGGATTTTCTTCCAAGCAAAGTCATGACTGCAGTCTTCAGGTTCAGGTAAGCAAAACATAATGTACCAAACTTCCCTGGTTGCACTCCTGTCGTCAAGGAAAAGCTCACGTTTGGATATGTGCTTTTCAATATTCCTAACCTGTTGACTGGCACAGTATGCACATTTTATTGCTGTGAGGATTATCACTTCTGTCTTGCCCTAGAAAGTTTAACCTTGCCAACCAAAATATTATGTATGTTCACTATATCTTATAAATAACATCTTGCAGCTTCGATGCTATCCCGGGTCCCACAGATAGATCTGGATCTCAGTTCTCAACCAACTGCCCTGAAGACAGAGATTCAGAGATTCCTTTCAGAAGTTCTTAAAGTTGCTTCACAAAAAAGAGATCAAGATGAAATGCTTCTCATCAAATAAGGTGAATACTTAAAGTCTCTTTCATTCCATGTCCACATTATCTTGCATTTATGTCAGTAATACATGTATTATACCTGCAGTACATCTGTGAGTTCTTTGATAGGAATGATGCACAAAATCCAAGCCATATTATTAGGTAAGATATATTACTTCAATCACATCAAAGCAGATAAAAATAATTATGCAAGACCAGCAATTGAAAATGCAACTATAATCATATGGAAATGCCAAACAGCCCATGATCAATTGGGAGAATCCAGGCATTAACAAGTAGTGACCACATTATGAAGGTTCCGTGGGAACAGAAACCAACAGGTGATGTCCCTGAGATGCCTCCATGCATATTCTAGGAGGGAAAAAATATCCTTGCTGAAACTTCAAATTAACATAATTCCACCTCATTATATCCTGCACATTGTACCTTACAGAATATACCTTTTCAGGATGATTCTCATGCCTTATTGTAATGATGCTTACCCACACTCCTCAGATGATTCACACATGGGATGATAAAGATAAGGAGAGTAAAAAGGGCCAGCCAATGAACTGAGAGGAAGTGGAACAGCTCTTAGGGATTTTCTAGCCTGTCTAGGAGCTTTCCTTTTTTTTGTCCAGCTTCAACAAGAACATGCAAGTTTTGGTTCCATTCTTGATTGATACATGATGGCACAACTGGGAGAGAGGGATACAAAGAGGAATTCACTTATTTGTGCAAGAATGAATGACAATTTCAATTCATTGGCACTCAGTGAGTCATTTTGCAACTTAAATAGAATAGGTGAAAGTTTTAACTGACGGGAGTTTGTATAGACATACATCTTAGGTCACTACAGGCCTTCTTATTTCTACCTTTGTCATTTTTATCTTTCCATCCTTATTTGTTCCAAGGAAACAATGGGAGCATCAGCTGCATAGTTGATAAGATGCTAAGCGTGATGATTTCTCATTTGAGGAGAACCTGTCACCCATCCAAGAAATCTGCACACCACTGAATGTGTTAGATCCACAAGTGCCTGTTTTTGTGTTGGACAATGCTTGAGTATACCAAAAAAGAATGATTCCTCAATAAGCAACTCATTTCACTCCTCCCTTACAGTCCCTGGTTAAATTCCATTGAGTTCATGTTACAGAAGTGAAAAGATACATTGATTGCATGGCAAGTCCCTATTACTCCATCTGCAGTAAGGATTACTCTTATGAGATGTTAAAGCCAATGAAAACCTGCAGAAATTCAATCTGCAGAATGTACAAATACGCCTCAAGCTGTGATGTCAATGCAGTATTGATCAGAAATCCAATTCATAAACAAAGGCATTTTATTTCATCTTATCCTGCCATCTGTTTTCCTTTATCTACAAGATTTAACTTTGTCTCCTGTTCTCTCTTAGTGTCTGAGTAGGAAAAACTCGGATGCAATTACCTGCCAGTGGCAAGTTATGCTCTGTTGTAGTAGTTGGTCCTCAATAGAAGCAAGGTGGGCCCAAGCTAATCCTGCCTCCATTGACAAGCTACTACTGCTGCAAATCATGGGCTGTCATTGACCTGCATTCATTCCCTTCCCATGAAATTTACTCATCATGGATGTTTCTTGCTGATAACATGGTCAGGACCTAATTCACACAAAGAAAGATCCACCTACACCCATAATCCAGCAGTTCTTTAGATGTGAGCCAGGCAAGAAATGCCAGGGCAGACATGTTGTGAATAGGTTAGATAATCTCTTTTGTTTAACTAGTCACATATTCCAACATGCCCATCTATTTGAGGCAAACTTGCCATGGGAGTTCATCTTCAGATGCTGTGCCTTGTTGGAAAATTTAGAATCCAACTCCGAGGAGGTACATACATACACAGACCTCCACCAGAGAATGATAAGTCAACAAGAATGAGAAATTGTTAGTATGAGACTTTTATATGGGAATGAGAATAAAGTGACCTGCTACATTGATTGTAGACTAATTTATTAATTAGTCTACAATCAATGGGCCTTTCTGGTTTACTTGGTAATCTCAGCATTAAGATGGTATTGAAAGTATTTTGCCTCATTATAAATTTTTTATGAACTAAATTTGGAACTCAGAAACTCACATAAATACACCCACTGGCTGCCCATTCTTTACACTCCCTTCCAATCATCTCCCCCTGGTATCCTCTTCTTCCTCTCATTACTTCTGATATATCTTATTATATTAACTTTATCAGTGAAGGAACACATGATGGTGCATCCAAGACATCTTGAAACCACGATGCATTATTAGATGTAGCATTATGGTAACTTGGGCCACTTCTACACTTGGAATAGAAAAGCATACCATTATCATGAGGACTCATCACTGCCTCTTTGGCTGATGACAAGAGATACTCCCTCTAAGTTGTAGGGTTCACTTTTCTTCTTTTTCCTTGAAAATCTCCTCTGGTGCTTTTTATCTTTGGACTTCCACAGCTCTTTCATCTTCTTCTTCCAGGCTTTTAGCTGTTTCAGCCTCCATGATAACCTTGCTGTACAGGAAATTGGTTATTTTAGGATACCCATACAACACAACATACATTAACCCTTTCAGACCTGGTGTCCATTCCAATGGACATTGCATTTACATTGTGTCTATGGCAATTTCTTAGGATTCTCGTGACTTTGCACTCCATATTATGCAACAATGGGCACAATTATGCATGCCTCAGTTCTATCAGATACCTTCTTTCACCCATTAGTTTTGTAATCTTCAGTTATTTAATTAAATGTATAATATATAATATATGGTATGATGTGGTACATTTATACAAAATATGAAAACTACACATAAAGCATGAAAATTTCAATTACAATCACAAAAGAGCTCAAAAATGCAAATATATATATTCCGATAATGGCCTTAATTCAGGTCTGAAAGGGTTAAACTTTTGAAGCGGAGCAATGTCATACCATGTGTTGCAAGAAGTCATAATACATGATGTGGCCTTGCACACAAGTTAATGTACAACAAAAACTTTGCTAATTTTGTGTACAACTTGTGATGGCATAACTTATTATATCATAATATATAATAATCGACATACGAGATCCAAGTTTCAAAACTAAGACCTTGGCCTTTAAAATCTACTCTTGAAAAGCTTGAGCCCTGCCATTTCTAGCATGAGTACCATGAATCTTCAAAGATCATAAGACAGACATTATAAACATTTTCCTGAGTCACTTGTATTGTTGAACTGCCAGACCTAAGGTCATCCTCAAGACTGGTTCTTCTACTCCTAAAATGGAAAATCAAGGAACTATCAGGGCCCTGGAAGGGGCATCATCCCTAAAAATAGTCTGGTAGTGAGCAAGTCTCACTTAAAGACTATCTTTGATAACTCCCAAATTGGCACACAATTTCAAACCCATGATTGTAGAAGCAACTTGTTCTAGAAGACATATGACTAATTCCAGAATTGAGCTTTTGAAATTCATGTTGTCTTTTGGGTGTTGGAACTCCCCCAGTGACCTTACATGTTCTAGCACCTGTCAATACACAATTGTCTTGTTTTTAATGAGGGGGGGAGGGGGAGGAGAGAAGGAAATGTCAAAGTAGTAGTTTGTGCCTGCAAGTCTTTCATGCGTTTCATAGGATTGACATTATGTTCAAGTCCAGAAGGGCAGGTTATGATATATGGCTGGACTTGGGCATTCTGCTGTTTTAATTCAAGTAACTTCAAAGTTATGAATGGGAAGTTATAAAGGTGTGGGGGGGGGGGGGGGGGGGGGGGGGTAGCGGGGGCTACGTGACTCCCTCCACGAGTCCCGTCTCGATTGAGTCCATCACGCCATCCTTCCACCTTCTCTCATTCCCATTTGGCAATAGGCTTCGACTCCATACCTCCCCCTCCCCCCCTCATTAAAAACAAGACAATTGTGTATTGACAGGTGCTAGAACATGTAAGGTCACTGGGGGGGGGGGGGTAACCTAGGCCCAACCTGGCCATACATGAGATTCTAAGTACATAAAACACCAGTTTCCCTTTATTATCTATCAGGAAATGTGGATATTATGATATTGGCTTCAGCTTATTTCACCTCACTCACTGTGATGATTACGAAGAGACATTGGTCGATCGAAGTCTTCGTGCATGGAACTTATGTTGTCATCGAAATCCCAGCTGATAACACCACCCAGGGACATACCACTAGCGTATGTGTATTCCCGCCACGGCTTCCCAATTACAACAGCCAGAAAGATGAGAACAAGGATGAAGGTGAGACAGAGAAACGCCCATACAGCCTCTCTCCGACGATTAAGTTCCCATGCCAAGTGAGCGAATGGGGACGAAGATATGTTTGTGGCGAAGACCGAGTCCAAGCCTTCGCTCGTTCCATTCTCGGACACATTTAGCATCGAAGACCTATAAATCAGTTCTCTCCATCATTTGTGACAGGAGAGACACGGAGACGCCATGTTTACTTAACAGTGCTGTCGAAGCTCATCGTGTACGCAATCCAATTGATGCATACCTGTATGTGTACATTTTCAATACACCTTATCCCTATTTGTTGGGGTCTTTGATGCAGACAAAGGAGCAGCCTCGAATGTTTCCGGTCGTGGGAAACGGACTCAGGTTCAGCAGGTGAGTACCGAACATTTAGTGACAAACCCAGATAGCACGTTACGTAGGGTCCATATCAGGTAAAGGTGGGAAACGTTGGCGGAACGTGAATGTTGGGTAAAAAATGCTGACCCAATGTGGGCATATCCCCACGTTGAAAAGAACTGCAGAACTCCTGGTGGAGAACTTCAACACCTTGAAGTTCTTCGCCAGGCCAATAGACGGACCACTAGATAGACCAACTATGGGTCTCGCTTTTCACACAGTATGCGAAAGTTCCCTTCCCTCTTTCCCTGGAATCGCCCTTCGCAGGATTGTTTAGTACCTTGCTATATGTCTCGCCTAGTCTCATTATAGAAATCAATAAACACGGAAATTTCATCATTTGTTATCCACTTATTCAAGACAGATTCATGGAGCTCAGGCCTTAAACAAGCTCATATTCTCGCTGAGGACCCTTTTGAAAGACTTCATCAGAAATGGATATCTGAAATAAAGAGGTAGCATCCGAGAACTTAATTCTGTCACTTTCTCATCTCGACGGCACGTGGAAATAAAGGACTGATATCGCGGATTCTTCATAGAAACGTATGAGGCGGTCCATTCTCTGACATGTATTGTAATCAGTACAGTCCGGGGTAGATCCGCTTCTCCACTGTCCTATGTCTCCTGCCTGTCTAGGGCATATATATACATGATAGGTCGTAGTACATAGCACAGGTTTGGTGTTACAGATGGGAATATTTCCACTGGATAATGAATTCAGGTATATGGTACGAAATGATAGTGGCCAATATAGAGCAAAAACCAGCTACTTGGATAAGTGGGTTAAATGTAGCGCTTCAGCTTCCCGCCAACGTTGGTCCCACATTGGCCCAACGGGCACTTTTACGTGGGACCTACGAGAAAACCTCTTCAAGACAGTTTCTTGATTCTTTCAGTCACTACCCCAAGCCCATGGTCATTGTGTGATGGTGGGGAGATGAACATTCTTAAAAATAGAGACTCTCCTCTATGGGATTTCCCGATTTGACAACCACGCACAGAGGATTAACGCAGAGACAAGCCTCGTCAATGTTAAAATAAAAAATCAAGTAATTTTTTATTTCGTTGACTGTCTTATAATGATTAGGAATGGAAGACATAAGCTTTGCAAACCATAAGATGATTTTTCTTGCCTTTGCAGGCTAAACTTTAAAACTTTTGTCAAGATTCAAGATAGTTAGTGATATCAAGAGGCGATTTCGCTCATTTCGATATCATATCGATTATCATTCGATATCATTGTCATTTATTTTCATTTTTTTTACACATAAAGTATCACTTAGTTTGCCATGCCAGCAATAACCCACACATGGTCTTGTGCATGTAAGTTATTATGGACGAGACTCCCATTGGAAATGTCTCTTTAAATAACACTGATATATACGGTGGGACATATTCTGACCTTCCCACCCTCTACATAATGTAATTCAACCCAAGCAATAAGATCTGCTGTTTTCAACCAAATTAACCAATGTCCACTCTCAGAGCGTGAATGAACAGGGCGTGCATTTTCTTCTCGAATTAACCAAAACCGTTAAGTTCAGATATTAGCGAGAGACGAATTCAGGCGCAAAAAACCCAAGGGGGTCGGAATTCGGCAACCAGCAAATACAGTAGATACCCTCCAGTATGGAATGATATACCGGGTGAGGCAAAAAAGGCGTCGCTTTTTGAGATTGTTTAGAGTTAATTAAATACCAGAGAGCAGGGGAAATTTTTTTTTCAACGGCTTCTTCATATCCTTTAAACATTCTAAAAGTCTTGTTCATTTTTTCCCCAGCCGATTTAGAGCAGGAACAAAAAACGCGAAGGCAGCTCGAATTTTTTTTCCTTTCCCGAGGAAACGTATCGGCGAACAGTTGATACTCGTGGAGCACAGCAATCTCGAGTCAGAGCTCCTCCTTCTGCTCATAAAATTTCTGGTCTTTACAAAAGGATAAGGTGGGGCTGCACTTTGCAAGAATTTCCTGGTTATGGAGAAAATAAATGTAGGCCTATAGTTAAGAGATTGATTCACCAGCTGCGGGAAACCGGTTTATCTGAGAGAAAGTGAAGGAGCGGCCAGTCTGCCCCCAGTTTCAACCCCCCACGAACGCCCATTGGTGCCCATTTCTTTCAGCGCCACTATCCAGATTCCATTCACACTAAGAGACTTCCCATTATTCAGATTTATGCTCCTACCCCACGGAGGAGTAGTCCCAACCTCCATGGTGAAACGACTCACCAGCGTGGAAAGGCTTCGAGTTGCTAGGGGTATGTGAGAGTATATGAGTTCACTGTTCACGAGTTGAAGAGTAAAAAAAATGTTCCTCCTCCGAAGTATTTTCGCCTTGTCATCTGGTGCCTCCTCCTTTCGGTCTTCGATGGCCCACAGAGTATGTTGCCTTCCTTGTTGGAGCCTTCAAATGGCTTGCCGGAACGACCACCTCAGTAGCAGTGCAAAGGTTGGCCGGATTCCATTTGCTCAACGGATTTCTTCCAAGACTTCTTTCTCGTTTCGGCCACAGCTCAAACGGGTTCAACAAACATCGTGGTAACACCCTCAGTGAGTGGCACGCCTGTGGAAAGTCTGACCTACTAGACACATACGCAGTGTTGAACATGTTACACGTGAAAAGTAACTTCCCAGCAAACAAGGCTACGTTGGACTAACGTTGTATCAACGTTCCGAACGTTTATTCAATGTTGATTCAGCATTAATTCAACGTCATGTGTTTCAAATTGTTTGCTGGGTTGTTACATTTACAAGTATTCTATTCTAAAAGTAATTAAGTTTCAAGTATAATTCCTTCCCATCAAAATTTTAAGTGACTAGTTATTAGCACAAGTTACCTTTTAAGCTACTTTTTCCAAGCTCTGTCGACTTCCCAGGTAACACATCCATTTAGAAACAGCATTGAAGCAATGTTTCACGTCCACATTTTGAATGTTGAAGTGATCTCTTCCTACCCTCTCTTCGTCTTTTAGTTTCTCTCTCTTGCCTGTTCCTAGTCTAACACCGCTCACTCTTTTCTAAAGTCATTGTCTAGCTGCTCCTTTTCTCTCTACTGCTCATAACTTTCATATCTGTCTTTCTCTGCTCACCCCGTGACTTCTCTTGTCCCCCTTCTCTCCCACACTCATGCACTTCAACCTCCCCCCTTCTTTCCCACGCATCTCTTACCCCTCTGAGTTCGACTTCGCATACTTTTCTATTTCTTTCCCTTTATCAGGTCTCTCTCCCTCTCTCTGCTTATTCCTCCTAACGCCTCACTTTTCTTGTATACTGCAAGAACCTGAACACTCCGTCCTCTTCTTTCCTGCTCTATCTCCCACGTCAGAACCAAGAGGCCAGTGCGGGACCCCTTCCGAACCCCCCTGTTTATAGAGGCGGTACCGGAAAAGTTCCGTAATCCGATAGCCTTTGTTAGAGCCCTTCTCGGAGCGCTCAAAGGCATTGAAATCACAAACATCAGAAATACAAGGACGGGATACGTCTTGGACGTCCCTAACCAACAAGATGCCGAAAGGCTTATTGAGAAATTGCCATCTGACATGGGCACTGCCCATGCCCCCAAGACAAGGGCGGACTCCTTGAAGTTCGTTCTAAAAGGCGTTTCACTTGATACTGAAATCACAGATATCAAGGAATCCCTTGAAGAATCCGGAATAACCCTCACCGATGATATCATCAGGATGAGGAAAACCCGAACTGGTCAACGACTCCCCCTTCTCCTAGTGAAGGCAGTTGGCAACAACAACTCATGAAGCCTACTCGAAAATGGAGCACTGAAAATCGGCCCAGTTTCCTTCAAGGCCGAGGTCTTCTCTCAAAGACCCAGGAACATTCAGTGCTTCAAATGCATGGTATTCGGACATCTTGCATCCTCTTGCAACAAAGCCACTAGATGTTCATTCTGTGGCATGAATGGAAACCCGAACTGGTCAACCCCTCCCCCTTCTCCTAGTGAAGGCAGTTGACAACAACTCACGAAGCCTACTCGAAAATGGAGCACTTAAAATCGGCCCTCTTTCCTTCAAGGCCGAGGTCTTCTCTCAAAGACCCAGGAACATCCAGTGCTTCAAATGCATGGTATTCGGACATCTTACGTCCTCCTGCAACAAAGCCACTAGATGTTCATTCTGTGGCATGAATGGACATTCCCATAGAGAATGTCAACGAATGAAAGCTGGACTCACTCCAACTTGTACCCTGTGCAAGGTCTCCCATGAGGCCAATTCTTCAGATTGTCCTCGATGCTCTTTCATCCTACTGTAAGGATTGGAGGATTTCCATGAATCCTTCCAAATCCTCATACCTTTACGTGCCTATCCCGAGACACATACAACTTTAGACTTTGGATGAATGGGGACCTCATCCCCGCTGCTTCCACCTGCAAATTTCTAGGTATCACTTTCCACAAACACCTCCGTTGGTCCCCCCACGTGCAGATGCTACGCCAAAAGGCAATTCGTAAATTGAATTGTCTGAAGTTCCTCTCGCGTGTCAACGGTTGTGAGCCCAACGTCATCATGCGCCTGTATAAGGCTTACATCCGTCATGTGTTAACGTATGGATTTGCGGCCTGGGCCAATGTCCGCGATTCCACCTTGGACACGGTTGCACGCATCGAACGAGCAGCGATTAAGTTCGCGTACAGAATCCCACGTCACTACCCTTCTGATTACATATTTAGGGTCAGTCGCCTTGCACCTCTTGACGTGTACGCCTCAGATCTAGCTCTCTCCTTCTATGAGAAGGACACTTGCCCTGAAGACGGACACGAATACCTGACAACATACGATAGGAAGCACAAAGGACGACGACGAGCGTTCAGAGCTGAATCTTCAGCATACATCTTCAGCATACGCCGTCGAATCGCCAGTTGGGAAAATTATATCGCTAACACACTCGATGATCTCCCAAATGACTCAACTACTCAGCCATGCTCCCCCCAACCCTCACCTATCCTTTGACCATTTCTTTGTTCCCCTGGCCGCCTTTTAGGTCATTTCGAATCCCTCACTCTTCAACTCATCAAGCCCTCTAGATACCCCATAAAGGGGACTTTGATCTCATCCACCCCTTCTTACATCTATGCAGCCACAACTGTCCTAATCGCTTCCATCCCCCACCAATTAAGGCAGCTCAGCATCAATTGTAGGATCTCTCTCTTCAGCTAGTCTGCCTTATTAAGCAGCTATCCTCTGTATCTGTCGGGACAAGCAGGGAGCCAGATGATGTTTTTCTTAACAGCTGGCACCTGTCAATCCCAAGTAGCTCACGGGCACCTGATAGGTACCGAAAACTTATATAAATGCTATTACTAAATGGATAGGATTTAATAATCTTTAAAAGTGGGTATGAAATAGCCCCAACGTGTTTTCTTTCTTTAAAAGTTAAACTAATAGGTCTCACCTTTTTCTAGGCTGCTATTGCAACTGTCCTAACTAATGAGTAATCAGTGAAACAGACGAGAGAAACCTCGGTCTCCGACCGGGACAATGGGGACCATTCCCATTGCCTAAATCAGCTTCAAAGGGGTCTTGCACCTCCATGCCCGCTCGCAGGAGGGTTTCACCGGGACTGGCGGGACCCCTGATGTATCCACCATCAGGGAGAGGGACCAGTCCCCCCCCCCCCCATTAGTTCCTACTCTTTAAATAAAAAGCTGGGTATTCACTGTCATATTGTGTATATGCTACGAGGGCCATTCAATAAGTTATCTACCTGAATAAGAAAGAAACATCCGAGGGGAAAATAACACTTTATTTTTCAATGTAGTCACCTTTTAACTCGACACACTTATTCCACTTTGGTTTGATGGACAAGAAGTTGACTTCTATTCCCAGGGAATAAAATCATTGGAATCAATCAGAAACGGCAACTTTCAGCTCTTCATTGCATGAATATATTTTTCCCCGCAAACATTTTTTCACGTGTCTGAACAGAAAATAGTCACTAGAAGCCAGATCCGGGCTGTAGGGAGGATGGTTGAGCTCCTGAAAGCCACACTCCCTCACTGCTGCCTGAAATTTCCATGATTTGTGGACGGGCGCGTTGTCATGGAGAAG